GAACCCCAAGTGACACCATCTTATACGATGAGGGTAGATAAGGTGAGGGAGTCGTCTCCCTGACGGACCTTGACGAAGATGGCCCCATAAACAGAGATAGGGAAGAGTCTGCATCGGGGTCAGCTGGCGAAGAGGGAGACGATGAAAGCTCCACCTCAAGGTCTAGCTCTGAGGATGATAGTGATGCCCCTCTTTCCCCACTTGAGGATAGTGAAGCCGAAGAGAGAAAAAAAAGCGTAGCAAAGGAAGATCCGTTTAACATCCACATCTTCGCTAAAGATAGGCGGATAATGTTAAAGGGAATTGAAAGCTTTGTAAAGAAGCGGCCCCTAGGAAATGGATATACTATCCAGGTGTCGCCTGAGCTAAGCACCATCTCTTGGAAAGATGAGAAGGATAATGCAAATGCCTACTTTGGATGCTATGAGGCGGCATTCCTGGCAGGCCTCCGATTATCCAGTTCTAACCAGTTTTAAATGAAATTTGCCGTTTAAGTCGGCTTAATTATTTTGTTTCAATTTTTTCATATATATTCTGCAATTTTATTTTCGAATTTTTGCCTAACTTTTTAAAGCATGTGGCAATTCAGATAGTATACCGGTACTCTTTTCCCGTGGCGGTTGTGTGGTTGGTTTCAGTATCTCTTTGATTGAGTGGCTTTGGAAAGTTTGATACTTTAAAGAGTATGGAATGTTCCTAAGTCAATCAATCACAGTGGTGATTGCTCCAAACCAAGTACACAACCATCAAAAGCAGCCATTTTTTCCCAATCGGGTATTCGCATTTAACTTCTTTATTAGCCAGACGGGAACTTGCCGCCTAGCAGTTAATGAAATAGGTAACATATTGTTCGCCTGCTTGGTGATCCTCATACGGCTTAAAGGTTGTCTGGGTGCCTGCAATCCATTGCACCTGGTTCGTCTGCCCCATTAGGGTGACTGGTACAACTTCGTGGAATTGTCTAACAGAGAACTTCAGTAATTGACCAGCTGATGTCACTTGACATCCGGTGTTAAGCTTTCGGAGAAGGGTAGCCTAGTCATTCTTTTAGATTATTTTGGTCCGACAACTATGAGTTAACCAATTAGGTCGTTTAATCTTTATCGTCTGTATATATGCTTGTAGAGCAAATGATAGAATGCCCTCTGCGGCGATAACACCAAGAGGGGCATCGCCGGACTCCATACTCATATTAGAACAGGCGTTTTTATAAAATAAATTTGCATCCGGCCATTGGCCTCTATTTCAATATCAGGTTAGCCGCCAAGTTTTTAACCTAGCTTATTTTTTTAGCGGACCGTCTTTGTTTTCAACAGGTGGTAGTGTATTGTTACGCATGTATGTATACAAAGCAATTAAATTAAATTGAAAACAAAAAGCAACTTTTCATTAATGAGCTTTTTATTTACAAGTCTTAGAAGTAGTACTTTTTCAACTTGTCTACATTCCAAGTTCTATGCAGCCGCCTATCATTCGGAGTTTCCAGCCAGTATGTTTCATTTCTTACTTCTTCATAGATCCGGTAGGGGCCTTCCCAATTTGGAGTTAGCTTTCCTTGCTCATTGGCCCTACCGGTTGCCTCAATTTTTCGTAACACAAAGTCCCCAACTTTCAAGGGCCTCTTGTGCACTCTCTTGTTATAGGCACGAGTCAATATTAGACGGTACATCTCATGACACAAGGCGACATTGCCCCTGCGCTCCGGGAGAGAGTCCAATGCTAGCCGCATGGCCTCCTAGTTTGCCTCTTCATCGTATAGCATGACTCGTAGAGTCGGCTCATAATGCTCGATGGGTAAGACAGCTTCAGCACCGTAAACCATGAGAAATTGGGTTTCTCCAGTTGCCCCCTTTTCAGTTGTCCGGATGGCCCATAGGACATGAATTAACTCTTTAGCCCATAAACCACTGGCTCTTTTTATTTTCTCTTTGATACCTTCTGAGATGAGTTTGTTGAAGGCTTCAACTTGGTCGTTTGCTTGGGGTCGGTCGACTGATGCAAAACAATGTGAGATCTCTTTATCTCCCAACAAAGCTTTAAGTTGAGGCGTATCAAAGTGAGGTCCATTATAAAATACCATGGACATAGGTACCCCAAACCGGGTGATAATGTTCTTCCATATGAAGAAGATGACATCCTTTGTCTTGATGCCTTTGACCGCCTCTGCTTCCACCCACAGGGTGAAATAATCCACAGCCACGAGGATGTAGCACTTACCACCTGGTACAAGTGTAAAAGGACCTAGAATGTCCATGCCCCATTTAGCAAACGGAACTGGGCTGTGGATTGTCGTCAAGTCAGTAGCCGGCCGATGGATTAGCTTACCAAATCTTTGACACTTATCACATTTTTTAACAAACTCTATGGCATTTGACTCAAGAGTGGGCCAGCAATAATGTCGTCTAGCCTTGACAGCTAAGGACCTGCCGCCTGCATGAGAGGCGCAGTATCCCGCATGCAATTCTTCGAGAACTTCTCTCCCCTTTTATGGGGTAACGCACTTCACTAGAGGCTTCATAAACCCCACCTTTAAGAGCTTTCCTTCCCTCATCTCGAAGTTTGCAGCACGCTTCTTCAGTATGGCTGCCTCCAGGGGTGAATCAGGGAGCGTGCCGTTAGTAGATACGCCCGCATGCCATCCATCCAAGTAGAACTTCGATCCAGAACTCCAACGGGCTCGTCATTAGATATACTTCGTTTTTCCATTACTTCCCAGAAGACTGACCAAGGCGTATAACAGGAGGCGGAGGATGCCAATTTCGACAGAGCATCCGCCTGATTGTGTTTCCCACCTGGGCACTTGGCTAGAATGAAATTGTTTAAGTGTCTCAGCTTCAACCTTGACTGCATTAGGTGTCGTTCGAAGTGCGCCTACGTAAAAGCATGTTGTGAATATGCTTAGCACTCATAGGAAGTGGGAATTGACATATACGATTAGGGACAAAAAAAATTACGGAGCCACCAACAAGTTTTTATGGAACTTTTAAACCGTTCACGGATCATAAAAGGTAACCACGAATAAGGGACAACAAAAGGCAACAACTATTGACCCGTGAAGGTTACACCCCAATCATAATCCATGAGATTACTAACTCCATATGGTTTGGAACCACGAAAGGAGGATCGAGGATGATGGTACGAAGTGATTCATGGAGTCACATTCGCCCGTATTGGCCTCTACTCAATTCTTATAGTGAAAAGTGATTCCTGCGATCTCAAAGGCATGCAAACAAAGATTCAATTTGCTTTAAACTATTAATAGGATAAATTGATTGAATATTAATGCAACACATGATCTTAAAATATTAGTGATTACTTGAATTAATAACAAGATTAAAAAGGAACCTAAACCGGTTGTCCAAATTATCTTATTAGGCGTGATTCACAATTACATATTCCCTTTAAACATGCAATATGGTGATCAATAAATAATAATAGAATAAACAATAATATTGAAAGCAATTTAACAATAATAATGTTATTCAAATCAAATATAAATTAACCTAATCATGATACTAGCAATATTAAAATAAAATAAGTAATTAAGTTAGTTAATTACTCACATTCCGCGCGTTCCTTTAAATTGCTACATCTTGAATAAATTGTTAGTAACTTCAATAAATAATAAATCAAAAGGAAATTAAATTAAATAAAAAGTAGAGATGATTTGGTCCAAACCCTCAATTAATTATACATTTCACTCTTTGGTTAAAGTATAGAACTTCGGGTATTGTATGGATTCCTTGGAGTGCATAGGGAAAGTATTTTGAGATAATAGGGTTGCTAGTATTTAGGCTAAAGAGGGAGAAGAGAATGATTGTGATGATCAAGCTTGTTGATGATTGAAAAAAGGAAGATTTGACCTCTATTTATAGAAAAAAAGGAAGGGTCGAAAAAACAAGATAAGATCTGAATTATATCGGAATAAAACTCGATAGACTGCAGTTTTTGTGGTTTTTGTTTTAATCATATCTTTTGATCCAGAAATCAAAATAATATAAATAATATGTCGTTGGAAAGCTATTAAAGTCTATTTTCTAACCCAATTACAATCAAAATAAAATTTTTTTAGAATAAAAGATATGGCCGAAATAGTGAGACGATGTCAGTTTTGGATAGAGTTTGATATTTCATTCATATCTTTTCCGTTATAGCTCGGAATTGATATTATAATATATCATTGGAAAGATAATTTCAAGGGATATCTAAACATCTAATATTTGGATAAAACTATTAGGCACAAAAATAATATCTGTCTATCTTTAAACATCTTTCAATTCAAATAGAATTAGGACTTTCAAAAAGAAAATTTTTATTCAATTTCAAACTTTTTAACCTTATCTTGTCAAAAAGGAAAATTAAGATCTTTTAAAGACTTATAGAAGCTTCCAATTAATCCTAATTGATTAAGAAATGGCATTAAAGCTTTTGGACCCTCCGCATGATCATTGGGTCGTAGGCAAGGTGCACTTGTACAAAACTAACCTCAGGTAACACCCAAAAAGTGTTACATAAAGTGGTAAAAGTGTTATTATAAACAATAGGTAACACTTTATTGGGTGATACTTCCGCCCATTTTCCCTAAGGCCTTATGTAACACTTTGTGTAACGTATGGTAACACTTTCAATAGTTATATATAAACACTCTTATGTAACACTTTTTATATTATTAGTATCATTTTGAAAGTGTTACTTTTTATATTTTATGTAACACTCACATCAGTAACATTTAAAAAATCATATAGTATCACTTTATCCGGTATTATGTATCACTTTTTGAACTAATGGAATACATTGTTGAGTATTAGTTAACATTTTTCAATATTTTTTTGACATATATAGTAGCACTTTATTCAACTTTATGTAGCACTTTTTGCAAACTAATGTAGCGTTTATTATTTTTAAAATATAAAAATAATATTAATATGTACAACAAGTATGAATGAGAAATTAACATATATGATAAATAATAACTTATATTGAAATAATTTCATTGTTCTTTCAAAGAAAATCTATAAACACCAATTTTAATGTTTGGCCAAACAAGATAATATTCATAACAAAAATATATATATATAAAAAAATCAACTTCGATCTATAGCTTGGAAAAAGTGAGAAAATAAGAAAAACTTCCAAATTTAAAAAAGTCAGAAACGGCCGATAGGAGCAGCAAGCTAGCAGAATGAGAGTAGCAGCAACAAAAGACAACAGCAGACAGCAGTTTGAAGCAGCGAGCAGTATGAAACTGCAAGTATTATGAAGCCGCAAGTAGTATGTAGCAGCAAGCACTTGTAGCAAATAGCAGCAGCAAATAGCAGTGGTAGAAACAACAGTAGCAAAAGTCAGCAACACACAGCATAGAAGCATAAAAGTAGTAGTAGCATCTCAAAACAACAACGACAGCAGCAAAAAAACAGATGTAACAGCTGTAAAACAGAAGTGGCAGCGGTAAAACAGCAGTTGCAGTAAGTGACAGCAGCAGCAAAATGGGATATATGCAAGTACACTTCTTGTGGCATCATCACTTGTTATCCCAATCCTTCATCTAGATCCATTTGATCCTATATATGTGTGAAAGCATCATATATCAAACAACTAGAACAAAAATGAAATAAGGCAATAATAAGAATTAGTGCTTTTTATTGCGAGAACAAAACAACTCCCCATCAGAACCTTGCTTTTGGAAGAGGTGAAGAGATTCCTTTAAGCACTTGTGCTTTTATTAGAGCTCGTGTGAAAGAAAACTGGAATGCTATTAATTCCAATCAATTACATGGAACCGCAAATATACTTGGAAGGCACCCTAGGCATGAAATCTTTGTGAGGTGGATAGCGCCAACTAGCAGCTGGTATAATAATCTGGAAACACAAAATATTATGAAAAGGCAGATACTCTAATATGACTTTTAGCTTGCTATAATAATAAAGAAACAAAATATGCTGTAGAATTTCCATTACAAGCATTCTGATTACTTCATGTATAATAGTAAAGGCTGAAACTAGAATATATACCCATGTCCACATTAAAAACCCAAATAGCCAAGTCTATGAAACATAAATCATGAAAGAGAAATCAGATAAATATGATTTTGTATTAAAACATCAATAATCAGATAGCACAAAAGAGCTAGTTGAGACTGAGAACTTCAAGACATCTTACCCAAGAGTGACAAAGATCTATTCATTTCATTTCATTCCCTTTCAAACTCTCTTCCAACATCAGCTTGTCTATTTCTTCCAGAACGGTCAGGAAACCATACCGATTTTTGCATCGATTAAGCTTTAGCGGTGTTTGCAGACTGAAGAAAAGAAATCATACTAATTGTTAATTAAGAAGATTAACCCACATGAGAATTTCAATTACACTTCTCACTCAATTCATCCGTCAACAGAATTTTACCGATAAATGAAGGCATCATTCGACTAACCTAACCTTCTTTGGTCCTTGAGACTAGCACAAGGTAGAATAAGAAAAATATTTTTATTGTCCATTAACCATTCTTTTCATACTTTCATTTGGAAAAATTTATCAAAGGAAATACCACACCTGATATCTACCATAGAAATGGAAAAATGTTGGGATTTAAGCATATAAATTAACTTGTACCCCTCAAACCTGTTCTTGATTTTCCACTCCTTATACTTACTTTTTTATATACTAGTATATTTTTTCTTTACACACTTTATTCTATGGTATATTGTCCTATGCAAAATTAGGCATGTGATACTAATAATCGGCTAATAGCTACAGTAAGTAACATAAGCTTATACAAGACCCACATATCGATTTATCTGAAACTGAAGCTTGCATAATGCACTCTTTATAAGTAGTTTAAGTATTGTATGAGCTACAGTAGCAATAGTGAAATAAGAGATGGAGAAACATAATTAGAAGACTAGTTATCGTCCTCATGTCAAACGAAGATCAAGGCCTGACCTGGATTTCAATATTCAACATAAAATACAACACAACTAAGTCCCACCAGGCTAACTACTTAAACATGTCATTTCCCCAAAGAATAATCCCACAGGTTGCATTTAAGCTAGTAAGCCAGCATTTCAATCAACATTTGCAATCTAGTTTAATCAACATTGCATTGACACTTTATAGTTCTAGTTGTAAAGCAAAATACAACAAAAATAATTAGACAATCTAATGAATAACTTATCTTTTCTAAATCTACATAGTTCTCGGTTGATCATTTCCGAAAATTTACTCTTTTCAATAACTAATAACAAAAAAAAATTGAAATCATTTTTACCCTTCAAATAACAGCCTACAATAAGCATTTCAATCAAGGTCAATACAAGATTAGGCTAAATTTCATACATTTCAGCAAATCAATTTATGGAAATCATACCATTCACCTAGTGTCTCACATATTAAACAATAAAAATCATACTTTTCAATAGGTTTGATTAGTCAACAAAGATCAAATTACAAGGTAAATCAAATCAGTAGTAATCGAAATGAAGAAAAATCAAAAATCCCAAACTCATCTAAATACTTCAATCAATTGAAATGCATGCAAAATTCATTATAAATTGTGAAATTAAACATTTTAAAAGAGAAATTAACATCAAATTAAGAAATCATCATCAAGATTAGAGAGTGAATTGAAACCCTAACTTTACCTAAATCAAATTCTTGTTGATAATGGAAAAGAAAGGGAACTAAACCAACCCACCCTAACATTAAAATGGAAGCTGCCGAGGATGGAGGCCAGAAGGCGGCAATCGCGCGCTGTCATTAGAGGTGGCAATTGTTCTCTATAACTTGGAGCGCGGCCTGTTGTGTAGGTATTCGGCTTGGAGCACGAGTTGCAATGGATGGTGGCTATGGTGAATAACCAGGAGCGAGAAGGAGGTAGCAGTGGAAGCCTGAGGAAAGGACGTGCGGTGTAAATAGACAGTGAAAGCTTGAGGAAGAAATAGGAGGAAGAAGAAAATTTTTTTTTAAAAAAAAAAAAAAAAAAAAGCGAAGTATTGATAACACAAAAAATAGATTGAGCTCTTTAAAAAAAATTAATAAGAAAAGATTGAGCATATAAAAATTCAAGACAAAACAAACAAACTGTTACAATCAAGTGCTACCTAATATCAAAGTGTTACTATAAAGTTTTACATAATATTAAAGTGTTACAAAAAATGTTACCAAATACCACAATGTTACAAAAGTGTTATGTAAAAATAAAACAATCATGTAATTTTTAAAGTGATACCAGTGGGTGTTACTTAAGCCTAATTTTTTAGTAGTGGTGGGTTTAGGTTCAATTTGGACTCGGTTTAATATTTTGGCCATAACTTATTCGTTATAACTCAGATTTGGGCTTATAATATATCATTGGAAAGCTCTTTTCAATCCCCATCCAACTATTCAATCATTGGACCCAGATTTTGGACGAAAATAAAATGGAATAAACGTTTCTATAAAAAGGACACGAAATGAATGATTTTAAAGGACTATAAATGAATTATTTTGGGTTTAAAGGCACGAAAAGAAGAAAATAAGTTATGGTTTGGGGAAATGGACTAAGAATTGAGTTTTTTTATGGAAATATGGAATTAAGCACTCCAAAGATTAAATACTCAACCCGACCAATAATGGCGGTGAAAGGTTGTTCATCATCAGGTTTGGTTTTGGGGAGACATTTTTAGGTGTCTACAGAAGCCCCCACTTTGACTGAGTTTGTAGAAACGTCAGTTTTGAAAACGATAGTCAAAGTATTCGATAGGGACGGAGAATGATTTAAGACGTTTTGCTATCCTAAATCACTCTGTATACGCCGATACCTACAGAAAAGTGTTAGTTCTGCAGATAAAAGAGTAAAGGGATAGAACGCTTAGCTGACACCATTGTATCAGTGACAAATGCGTTTGGTAGTTTCCTATGCTTGAAGGAATCCACCGGATGACGTTTGTTGAAATGCTTTCCATGGAATTAAGCACTCCAAAGATTAAATACTCAACCCGACCAATAATGGCGGTGAAAGGTTGTTCATCATCAGGTTTGGTTTTGGGGAGACATTTTTAGGTGTCTACAGAAGCCCCCACTTTGACTGAGTTTGTAGAAACGTCAGTTTTGAAAACGATAGTTAAAGTATTCGATAGGGACGGAGAATGATTTAAGACGTTTTGCTATCCTAAATCACTCTGTATACGCCGATACCTACAGAAAAGTGTTAGTTCTGCAGATAAAAGAGTAAAGGGATAGAACGCTTAGCTGACACCATTGTATCAGTGACAAATGCGTTTGGTAGTTTCCTATGCTTGAAGGAATCCACCGGATGACGTTTGTTGAAATGCTTTCCATGCCTGAGGAAAGCCGACTGACGAGTTTGGTAGCTTTCTATGCTTGAAGAAATCTACCGGATGATACTTTCATGCTTAAGGAAAGTCGACATATGAATTAGGCGGTTTTCTATGCTTGAAGAAATCTACTGGATAATACTTTCCATGCTTGAGGAAAGCCGACAAATGAACTTGGTACCTTTCTATACTTAAAGAAACCCACCGGATGACACTTTCCATGCTTGAGAAAAGTGGAGCAAATGATTTTGGCAGCTTTATATGCTTGAAGAAATCCACGAGATAATACTTTCCATGCTTGTGAAAAGCCGACTGATAATTTTGGCAGCTTTCTATGCTTGAAGAAATCCACCGAATGACACTTTTCATGCTTGAGGAAAGTTGACAAATGATTTTGGCAGGTTTCTATGCTTGAAGAAATCCACCAGACTACACTTTCCATGATTGAGGAATGACTTGTCTGATGATGAGATTGCAAGTCTTTGCGTATCGAGAACCTTGCCCCGTGAATCATCTTCACTTGGGAGATTATTACTAAAATGATGATGGTTTGATTATCCCCGAACGTGGGCTATAGATGGTTCGCTTGTCCCCGAACGTGGGTTGCAGATGATGATCCGCTTGTCCCTAGACGTGGGATGTAGTTGGTTTGCTTGTCCCCGAACGTGGGCTGTAAAGGTTTGCTTGTCCCCGAACGTGGACTGTAATTGGTTCGCTTGTCCCCGAACGTGGGATGTAATTGGTTCGCTTGCCCCCGAACGTGGGCCGTAGATGAGACCTGCAAAATAAAATTTGCCAAGGGACTCGTATAAACTATGATTGACTTGACCAACTAACTTGACCAAGCTTGACATGACATGACATGACATGACATGTGTATGACTTGTGATTGTGTGTATATGTGTATTGGGTGAGTGTGTGCACAAACACGCACTACTACAAAATTAGGCAAAGGGACCTATAATAAGAGACCTGTTGGCTAATACAACAAGTCTCTTTGATATAAGAGACCTGATATTAGTGCTAACAGGTCTCTTAAATGTAAAAGATCCCACCACTTCTGGTACGGGATTAGAGGGAGGGAATTAAGAGACCTGTTGTGTAACTTAACGGGTCTCTTATGTGCGTAAGGGCTCACCATGACCCTCACGGCCTCACCTTTTCCTTTTTTTTAAATTAATTTTTTATTTTATATACCTTTCCCCTTATTCATTATACATTCATACGCTTTTCTATTTCACCCTCATCAGTTTACTCTCCTCTCTTCTCATTTCTTGTTCTTCTATCACTTGTATCAATTGAAGCGCTGCTAACTCCTCCTCATTAACGGCGTTGTTGCATCTTCCTCATACATCGGCACTGCCTCATCCCCTTAACTAAAGTTTAAAGATTTAAATGTCAATTTTGAACATGAAAACTCTGGATTAGAGTTTTATGAACAAATTTGCCCAAAGAATGCCACGATTAAATTAGTCTTGAAAAGGTATATTTCCATATCACTGATTTTGAAAAGTTTTTGGCTTAGTGAAAAGGTGTAAAGTGATAACTTTAGCTTGATCTCATTAGCTTCATGAGCACAATATTTATAATAATACAAAACCCAATTAGTTTCCTAAGCCTACACAACGTGTATGACAGCCAAGGAAACTAAGATAAAAGATATGGCAATAATATCCTAAAAATATGGAAATAATATCTAGACTAAATATTTACCAAATAAACTAAATAATATTTCCTAAATATATCTTAACACCCCCCCTCAAGTTGGAGCATGATATTCGAAAATGCCCAACTTGGAAAGAAGATAGTCAAATTGAGCTTTTCCGAGTGCTTTTGTGAATATATCCGCCAATTGTTCCTTAGTAGACACATGTGACGTGGAAATTAAACCTTCATTGATCGCATCACGAACAAAATGACAATAGACCTCTATGTGTTTTATACGCTCATGAAAGACCGGGTTCTTCGCGATATGCAACGCAGACTGACTATCACAAAACAACTTGATTGTTTTTGGGTGTTGAATGCCCATACTCAACAATAAACCTTTGAGTCACTTTAATTCACAAGTAGCTCCAGACATGGACCTATATTCCGCCTCTGAAGAAGAAAAAGAAACCGTGGATTGCTTTTTAGTTTTCCAAGAAATCGGAGATTTTCCTAGAAACACTAGCCATTCGGTCAATGAACGTCGTGTGAGGGGACACACCGCCCAATCTGAGTCACACCATCCCTCTAAAGTGAGTTCACTATCCAAACGCAACAAGATTCCTTGACCGGGAGTTCCTTTTAAATAACAAACAACCCTCAAAGCATCTTCCCAATGTTCTATGCGAGGTGCTTTCATGAACTGTGATAAAATGTGAACTGAGTAAGCAAGGTCGGGTCGAGTAACCGCAAGGTATATGAGCCATCCCACAAGACGACGATATGCTTCGGGATTGTGCAACAATTCGCCACTAGCATGAGCAAGTCTATGATTTTGTTCCATGGGAAACCCACTTGGCTTTGCTCCCAATAGACCTGTTTCAGAAATAATATCCAAAGTATACTTTTGTTGGCACAAAAATAACCCAGATGTGCTACGAGCCACCTCAATGCCCAAAAAATATTTAAGAGAACCAAGATCTTTCATTTTAAAACAATCTTTAAGATAAGCCTTGAAGACCTTTAGTGCAGCGGAATCGTTCCCAGAAATAATAATATCATCCACATAAACTAAGACATTTATTTGAGTTTTGCCATTAGTATATGTGAATAAAGAGTAATTAGAGTAGGCTTAGAGAAAACCATACCGTTTCAAAGCCGACGCCAATTTTGCATACCAACACCTAGGAGCTTGTTTCAAGCCATATAAAGACTTGCGCAACCTACATACCAATGAAGGATCCGGGCTTTCGAAGCTGGGGGAAACTTCATGTAAACTTCCTCTTTTAGGTCACCATGTAGAAAGGCGTTCTGAACATCCAATTGATGTAGTTCCCAATTTTTGCAAGCCGCTATTGCGAGAAAGGCACGAACGGTAGTCATTTTGGCAACCGGAGCAAAAGTTTCTTCATAGTCAATACCGGCTTGTTGATGATTACCAAACACCACTAATCTTGATTTGAGTCTCTCAATATCCCCATTGGACAAATATTTGGTCTTATAGACCCATTGACTGCCGAGTGCACGCTTCCCGGGAGGACGACGTTCTAAAGTCCATGTACCATTATCTTCTAGAGCACGAATTTATTCTTTCATAGATTGTCGCCACCCATCATGTTTCATTGCTTCCTTGAAGAATTTTGGATCGTTACCCTTGATAATAGCTGCAAGAAATTTTTGATAATTGCTAGAAAAATTGTCACAATTTATGTAATGTGCTAAAGGATAAGGAGTACCTGAGGAGAAATAGGAAGAGGGGGAGAGCGGACTATTAACAAAAACCGTATGTGTCACAAAATCACGATGATTAACATTTGGAAACTTTTGTCGAAATCCACGACCCATTTGTGGAGTATTAGAGCCGTCCAAATTCACCTGCACATATTTAATAATTGGGGAAGTGGGCTGCCCAACAAGAGATGGCCCAGCGAATGATGGATTACCATCGCCCTCACCAGTAGCAGCAGTGGGCTCGTGGGGTGAAGGCCCAGCAGGCGCTGGGTTTCCAATAACCTCATCAGAAGCCGAATTGGGTTCAAGGAGGGAGATGGGCTCGTGTGTTGGGCTGCATTGTTCATCAAAACCATCTCCTACATTTAATTCCTCTTCATAAATAATAGCAGAAAAATCCTCATGAATATTTTGAGCATCATACTCATGATGTGAAATGTTCACAGCTTCGGGACTGTCAAACGGAAAGACC